GGTTGAGAACGTAAGATGTAGCCTCAGTCAAGGTCCTATGGAGGAACCAATTTGTTGAGGAAGCTACTTGGGAAGCCGAAGAAGACATGAAGAAGAGATATCCATATCTCTTTGAATCCACAGATCAAGGTATTAATTTCCTTCTTAGTTCTCTTTAAATTATAGTGGGCATGTTGTTATTGTTGTTGTTGTTGTTGTTGCATGATTGTTTGTTGGGTGTTTGAATTGATGTTACACCCTTAGCCTTGTAAGAGTAACCTCATTCGAGGACGAATGTTCCCAAGGGGGAGATATTGTAACATCCAACAATTTAAAATAAATATGAAGAAGCTTGAAATTGGAAGTAGTCATTTTTGGAAGAATTCAGAATTTGGAAATTTGGCTAAGTTCAGAATTTGGAAATTTGGCTAAATTCAAAATCTGGAAATTTGGCCAAGTGTGGAAATCAGTGAGTTTTTGGCCAACTTTGAGCAGTCATAACTCCTAGCTCAGGATGAGCCAGGAGTAGTTCCAGTTATGTTTGGAAATCCCTTGGAACGATCTTTCCAACGCCACCGAGTTTCCTCGATTCCGAGTTCGTATGAGCGACTTATGCCCTTTGAAAGTTGGGCGGTTGGTAGGGAGTCCGTCCGGAAATTTAAGGGCATTTTGGTCTTTTCACAAATCATTTCTTTTGAGGTTATATTGTTGTGTTAGGCTGATTGTAGATCATTTTTGTTCCATTTTAAAAGAGTAAGAGTTAGGGTTCTTGAGGGTGAAGAAGAGAAGAAGGAGAAAAAGAAAAGAAGAAGAAAAGGAGATCAAAGAGTTTCCGTCAAAGATCATCGTAGAAATCGTCGGGGGTGATCCCTATCAAGAAATGTGAGTTCTTTGTGTGGGTTGATCCTTTCCTCCACACACCAAGCTCATTTTATGATTTGAGAAAATATTGAATTTGTTGTTGAAGTTGTTACTTGTTGTTGATGTTGTTAGTTGTGTTGTGGAAGTTATTGTTGGTTGTGGGACATGATTTGGTTGTGTTCTTGAGTTGAATCTCTTGTATGTTGAGGGATTTTATGATCCTTAGTGTTGGTTGGTTCATACCCCCACACACCAACTCGTTTTTAATTCCAAGAAAAGATTTATTTTGGTTGTTAAAGTTCTTGCTAATTTGGGACAGGATTTGGTTGTGTTTTTTAGTGGAATTCACTGTATGTTGAGGGGTTTATGACCCCAAGTGTTTGGGAAAAGAACCTTTGAAGTTAAGAGGGTTTAGAGTTGGCAACATGAAGGAGAAAAGTCAAGCTGCTTTCAGGAAACAAGTCTGCGTTGCAGCTGTGTTCCCTCTGAGAACAAAATCTGTTCTGTTTTCAGAATTTAATTTCGAAATTCTTCTTAAGTTTAGTTGTCCTAAAGTATTCCTAATCATCATAGGGTCCTTCCAAACACAAATCATTACCCTTGAATTCATAATCCAATTCAAGGAGAGTTAGTTCCAAGTCAAGTAAAGTTAGAAGTCAAGTGATGTTAAGAGTTAAGCTTAGAAGTGAAGTAAGTCAAAGCAAGTTTTCAAAGTTGTTCAAGAGTCTTTAGTGAATGTTTTAGCTTCATTTTTTTAAGACTCGAGTTTCATGTTAAGTTAAGAGTTTCACATCAAGCCAAGAGTTCAAATAAAGTAAAGAGTTTAAAGTTGAGTTTATTTCTCAAAGTTATTAGGGAACTATGTATTCCCAAAGAAGTTTTTAAAGAAATGTCTTTACATTTAATCAAGGTTGGAAACTGAGATTTCCAAAGAGCCTTCAGGCTAGTTTTTGAGTAATTATCTCATATCAGCAGGAATAAATATGTTTTAAAAACGTAAGAGCCAGTACAATTTTGGGAGTAGTATCGAGCACCGAATTGGGGGAGCGTTCAAAGAACCCACAGCCCCCATAGAACCATGTTAGCCACCATGGGTAGAAAAGGATCATACTTTTTAGATGAATCCTTTTCAGATTAGACTAGTGGATCCATTAGGCAGTTCAGGTCTTATACCTTTGGTCGGGTATAAGATGCTCTGGCAGCGTGAGGTCGATCGTTGTATCATCACTATAGCTCTTATGTGATGGTTGTCGGTTAGAGAAACTCCCACAGCAGTTATAGTATTTTATATACATCAGTTCATTTGTATTTCTATATACATCTCAGGCTTATTGTATCCTTGTATACACACAGAGTTTACAAGCATGTTTTAAACAATTTTTCTTTATATCGCACTTGTTTTAAATTGCCTTATATTGAAAAAAGTCGGTCAGGTTGAGTTGAGTTGAGCAAGGTAAACTTTTCAGTTTCTTCCAAATTTCCTTCTAGCCTATGTCGCTTAGTTTTCCAGCTCGCATACTAGTACATTCCATGTACTGATGCCAGTTGGCCTGCATCGTCTTATGATGCAGATACAGGTACCCCGGATCAGCATCCTGCACGTCGTTGATCCAGCTGAGCACTCCAGAGTCAGTGGTGAGCCTCCTTGCATTCCGGAGGACTCAATTATTTTGTGTTTCTTAGTTTTTGTTTTATTAGGATGTTGCGGGGTCTGTCCCAACATCCATCTCAGTATTTTAGAGGCTTCATAGACAGACAGTCAGTCAGTTAGTTTTGAGTCTCTCATATATGTATATATGTAAATATTCTATTTTGAGATTCGAGTTGCCTTTATGGCCATATTTTATAAGTTAAGTTGTTTTGTAATATTGCATTGCATTGAGTTATTCTGTTGGGTTAGGTTTCCGCTGAGTTAAGAAAGTCAGGCCAAGGGTTCGCTTGGGGCCAGAAATGGTCTCCAGGTGCCGGTCCCGCCCAGGGTGTAGGCTCGGGGCGTGACAAAATGATAAATTCACTATGTCAGTATTATTTTTTTAATAGGTATTTCAATTCAAAATTGGACAAATAAATACGGACAAAGGAGCAATAGTTTCACCATCCAAAATAATACTCTCCATACAATAATTGAAATAACTGAGCCTTTTGTGTGTGTTCCCCTTAGCCCTTTGGAGAAGTAATGAGAAAAGGCTTAAATATATACTGAACTTAATAAAATGGCTCATATATATATATATATACAACTCACAAAAGGAGATGAGAGAGGTGGGAACTGATAAATAATGTCACGTGACAAAATCAAGTTCTTTGTTAATGGCACAAATAAATCAAATGTATCATAGCGAGAGCATAAATAAACCCAAATATTAACCTTCCGCTCTAGATCAAGACTCATTTAATTACGAAACGAATTGTGACGATAGGTCAATACTCATTAATCAATATTGATTCGGATAAGATTTTCCACGTCATTGCCGGCTCTAATTTAATGGTTGTTAATACATCATGTCTTTGACATTAAATTAATTGAAGATGTTTTTGTTATTGTATTGATATCAATTAGTAGATAATTGAATACAATATAATTAAAAACAGGTTTATTGCTTTCACCAAACATTGATAAACAATTATTATAAGTTTATACATGGTCTCTCTCTATCTCGGATTCAACTTTCATTTAGTTTATATACTTTATACTTTGTACAACATTATAGGAGATAATGACTTGCAGGTATAAGATTAGTATTATATTTAGTGTGTGTTTTGTGTGGAGTTTTTTCCAAAACCAATCATGTTTGGTTGATCAAAAAAGTTTCTAAACACTTTTTCTCTGTGTATTATCAAATACCGAAAATAAGCAAAAAAGACATTTTCTGTTTACTTACCAAACACTGAAAATAAGCAAAAAAGACACTTAATTTCGGGGCCAAACACATCCTTACTCTCAATTCATTTTCTCTCTGACATTAGGATTAAATATTAGGCCAGAAGAATTAAAGCCTATACATCCCTCTCTTAGCTTTAGCTATCTATCTAATGGAGTTTCAATTTCCATTCAATTTCATTTTCTTATTCCTTTTCCTATCACTCCTCTATTTACTACTTGTGGATTGGAAAAAATCAAGAAACTTAAACAAAAAACTTCCTCCAGGCCCATGGAAATTGCCCTTTATAGGAAGTGTCCATCACTTGGCATTAGAAGGTGGACTTCCTCATCATGCACTCACAAATTTGGGGAAAAAACATGGACCTTTCATGCACCTTCAACTAGGCGAAATTTCTACGATCGTAGTTTCTTCTATGGATATGGCGCGAGAGGTACTGAAAACTCATGACCTCGCTTTTGCATCGATGCCTAAATTATTAGCCCTCAACATAATATGTTACAAGAGCACTGACATCGCATTTACTCCTTATGGAGATTACTGGAGACAGATGCGCAAAGTATGTGTCTTGGAACTTCTCGCTACCAAGAACGTAAGATCCTTTAGTTCCATTAGGCGGGACGAGGCTTCACACCTTGTGCAATTCATCCGGTCATCAACACGTGACGAGCCAATAAATGTTACGGAGCGGATTTTATGGTACCAGAGCTCAATTACATGCAAAGCAGCATTTGGGGAATTGTTGAAAGATCAAGAGAAATTCCTTGGAATACTAAGAGAATTGATGGAAGTGGCAGGTGGATTTAGTTTGGCTGACATTTTCCCTTCAATCAAGATCCTTCAAGTGTTAAGTGGATTGAAGAGTAGAATCTTGAAAGTTCACAAAAATATTGATGTTATTGTTGAGGAAGTTATCAATGAGCACAAGAAGAATCTTGCAAGTGGTAAAAAGGGAAATGGTGCATTTGGAGGTGAAGATTTAGTTGATGTTCTATTAAGATTAATGGAGAGCGGGGGACTTAAAATCCCAATCACCAATGACAACATCAAAGCAATTATGATTGTAAGTATTCTTACTTTTATAGGGAAAATCGTTCAAATTTTATATACATAAATTATACATTCGCCAGCTATATTTAGTTTAAGCAGTTGGATGGACGCGCAACTATTCACGTTAATTCTTCTTTGATTGATAATGAAATGTAGGACTTGTTCTCTGCGGGAACAGAAACTTCATCAACAACAGCAACATGGGCTATGTCAGAAATGATGAAGAAACCAAGTGTATTAGCAAAGGCACAAGCTGAGGTAAGAGAAGCATTCAAAGGAAAAGAAACTTTCGATGAAGATGTTATTGAGGAATTGAAATACTTAAAACAAGTTGTTAAAGAAACCTTCAGACTTCATCCTCCACTCCCTCTCTTAGTCCCTAGAGAATGCAGGGAAGAAACAAACATCAGCGGTTACACTATCCCATTAAAAACAAGAGTGATGGTTAACGTTTATGCAATGGGGAGGGACCCAAAGTATTGGGAAGATGCAGAAAGCTTTATCCCTGAGAGATTCGAGCAGAGCTCTGTGGATTTCATGGGGCATAACTTTGAGTATCTTCCTTTTGGTGCCGGAAGGAGAATGTGTCCTGGGATTACATTTGGTTTGATCAATGTTTATCTTCCACTAGCTAAATTGTTGTATCATTTTGATTGGAAATTACCTGATGGTTTGAAGCCTGAGGATGTGGACATGACTGAATTTTCCGGATTAACTGCAGCAAGAAAGAGCGAGCTCTACTTGATTGCCACTCCTTATTATCCTTCTCATGAATGATATTTGATATAGGAGTCAGGGTATTTTATCCTCTCTGTTCTTCTTTTTTTGTTTGTGAATTATGTATTTAATGATATTTGTTTCAACCTGGTATGTAATATATTCATGTGTTGTTCAATGATCAGTTCATGTACTTTGAAGTTTTGTTTATTAAGAATAATAGCTTCACCATCAAAAATAATAGTAGTGTTTTCACACTGAGAAATTAGAAAGCTTCCAGTATTTCAACGGGAATTTGTTCCCCTCATGTGTTTTCCCAGTGAGCTGGTTCGGTGGAAAATGAATGAGAAAATCATGTTTTATAACACAATTTTTTTACTGATCGCAGTGGAAAAACCTTTGTTTCTAGCAGTGACATTTCTTACTGATTTTTTATAGCAGTAGGCCCTTGTTTTATGTTAACTGAACCATATATAGCATAAGGGACTCACTCTGCTATCTCATGTTCAAACTCTGCTATGCTTTTCTTCAAAAGTTTGTCTGTATTCTATCGGTGAGACGACTTAGTTGATCAGGTAAAGATGAGACTCTATGTGCTCATATTCAGTTACACTAATGAATTTCCATGGCGAACTAACGCATGACTAAGAAACTAAATGTCAGAACATATTGGTGACTCTTGATTATCCCGATCCTTCATGTTGCGTCTATGATTTTGTTGGTCATCCTGTAATTTTTTTAAAAATATGTATGTTCATGTTTTAATCAAAATTTGTTTATAATTTATGACATTAGACACTAGTTTGAATATATTGAATGGCAATGCTGATAAATTAACATGTATAGCTCAGAGTTTGGAATTTTCTTCTGTTTGTTCCAAATAAAACCAAAATTTGTATTTTTGTAGCAGCTGCCACTGCATCAAGAAATAGTGTTTGTCACGCAATATGTGGCAAGACGCAAAGCTTTATTAATCAATATGAATTTCTAAAGGATAATTGATAGTCTCCTCTTTGTCTTGGAGGCTCTACGTACGGCCGAAAAATATTGTTATGCCTATAACATATGTCAGCATCTTGTTAGAAGCCAAGTATTAATTAAAATCCTATTACCTTGATGAAAGCCGAGAAAACAAGTTTTATAAGTGGCCTACCAAAGTTAGTTATCTCCTCCTAACTCCCCACCCCCACCCTCACCCTCACCCTCAATCATATCTCATAGTGTTTGCCTAGATTTTACAATATTTTTTACTTACTTATCAAATACCGGAAAATAATAAAACTACTTATTTTTTAGGAACATTCATACCAAACACACCCTTACTCTTGGATCATTTCTCTAAGACAGTAGGATAATATAACAGGCCAAAAGTAGCCCTATACAACAAAGCTTTGAACTTGAGAATTGAGAGACACCCTTCTCTTAGCTTTAGCTATCTAATGGAGTTCCAATATCCATTCAATTTCATTTTCTTATTCCCTTTCCTATCATTCCTCTATCTACTACTTGTCAAATGGAAAAAATCAAGAAACTTTAACAAAAAACTTCCTCCAGGCCCATGGACATTGCCCTTTTTAGGAAGTATCCATCACTTGGCATTAGAAGGTGGACTTCCTCATCATGTACTCACAAAATTGGGCAAAAAAATATGGGCCTGTCATGCACCTTCAACTAGGCGAAATTTCTACGGCCATAGTTTCTTCTATGGACATGGCGCGAGGGGTACTGAAAACTCACGACCTTGCTTTTGCATCAAGGCCTAAATTAGCATCCATCGACATAATATGTTACAAGAGCATAGACATCGCACTTACTCCTTATGGTGAATATTGGAGACAGATGCACAAAGTATGCGTATTGGAACTTTTTACTTCCAAGAACGTACGATCCTTTAGTTCCATCAGGCGGGACGAGGCTTCACGCCTCGTGCAGTTCTTCCGGTCTTCAACACGTGGCGAGCCGATAAAAGTTACGGAACGGGTTTCATGGTACCAAAGCTCAAATACATGCAAAGCAGCATTTGGGGAATTGTTGAAAGATCAAATGAAATTCATAGAATTAGTGAAGGAATTGGTGGAATTGGCTAGTGGATTTAGTGTGGCTGATATTTTTCCTTCAATCAAGATACTTCATGTGTTAAGTGGATTGAGGAGTAGAATCTTGAAAGTTCACAAAAATGTTGATGCTATTGTTGAGGATGTTATCAATGAGCACAAGAAGAATATTGCAAGTTGTAAAAAGGGAAATGGTGCATTTGGAGGTGAAGATTTAATTGACGTTCTTCTAAGATTAATGGAGAGTGGGGAACTCAAAATCCCAATCACCAATGACAACATCAAAGCAATTATGGTTGTAAGTATTCTTAAACTTATAGGGAAAATCTCTAAAACTATTTGAGCTTGTATGTATCAAAAACGAAGTAAGAGAAATAAATTGAAACTAAGTATTTATTTTCTTGCACATGTTGTCCACTACACTAATAATTAATATGTCAATTATTGATTTTAATAATTTAAAAATTAATTTAATTTTAATTTTGATCAATAATCAACTCAAATCGACCGATGAACACCATTTCGGACCCTGTAGCACAGCTTTAGCTTCAGCAATAATGCGTCTCTACAAATAACTCCTGCTCCAGTTGTTCCATTTTTCATCAAATGAGATAATAGTAAAAAAAAACATATTTGAAGTATTTAATTATCAGGTATATGCATTTTTTATCTCAATTATCATTAACAATTTATCAAAACATACCTCGATTAGTATTTAATGATGTGTGGTGTACACTCTTTTTTTGTTTAAAAATAGTGTTGAATGACACTCCACGGAGATAATTAAAAAAATTAATTGAATTTGTAATTTTTTTAAAAAAAGGAAATAATGGTCAAAAACATAGTATTATATTTTATTTTATTTTATTTTTGTAAGTTTTCTACTTGAATTATGAAGTATTTATATTCACAAATTTATTTACTTTTCAAAAGAAATACTTAGAGATGCAAGTTCTGAAAATATCGGACAGTGTGGCCGACAAAAAAATATGAGTAATGTACAGCTCGTAGTTTGTTTCAAATAAAACCAAAGTTTATACTGTTTTAGCAGCTGGCCGTTTCTACTTTCTATCATGCATTATGTGGCTAAGACACGAAGATGAAATATGATATCTGTGTAATATATATTAGGATCCTGTTGCTCTCTAAAATTGGAAAAATGGCTTCCCTAATATAAGCGGAAAAATAAGTTTCATAAATAGCATTTTAATCCAATCTTATCTCATAGTGTTTGCCTGGATCTTACAATATTATTTACTTATCAAATATCAGAAAATAAGTAAGAAAACTATTTGATTTTTAGAAAAATATTTTTTGTGAAAAACATGTTCCTTCGTACCAAACACACCCTTACCCTTGGATCATTTCTCTCTGGCATTAGGATAATATATATAGTAGGCCAAAAGATTGCCATATACAACTTGAGAGAGACCCCTCTCTTAGCTTTAGCTATCTAATGGAGTTCCAATTTCCATTCAATTTCATTTTCTTATTTCTTTTCCTATCATTCCTCTATCTACTACTTGTTGAATGGAAAAAATCAAGAAACTTAAACAAAAAACATCCTCCAGGCCCATGGAAATTGCCTTTCTTAGGAAGTATTCATCACTTGGTACTAGAAGGTGGACTTCCTCATCATGCACTCACAAACTTGGGCAAAAAATATGGGCCTCTCATGCACCTACAACTAGGGGAAATTTCTACAGTCGTAGTTTCATCTATGGGCATGGCCCGGGAGGTACTGAAAACTCATGACCTTGCTTTTGCATCGAGGCCTAAATTAATGTCCATCGACATAATATGTTACAAGAGCACAGACATTGTGTTTAGTCCTTACGGAGAATACTGGAGACAAATGCGTAAAGTATGTGTCATGGAACTCCTCACCACCAAGAATGTCCGGTCCTTTAGTTCCATCTGGCACGACGAGGCATCTCGTCTCGTGCAATTCATCCAGTCAACGACACATGGTGAGCCAATAAACATTACGGAACGGATTTTATGGTACGCGAGTTCAGTTACATGTAAGGCAGCATTTGGGAATCAATTGTTGAAAGACCACGAGAAATTCATTCGAATGGTGAAGGAATTATTGGAATTGGCAGGTGGCTTTAGTTTGGCTGACATTTTCCCTTCAATCAAGATCCTCCATGTACTAAGTGGAGTGAGGAGTAGAATCTTGAAAGTTCACAAAAATGTTGATGCTATTGTTGAGGATGTTATCAATGAGCACAAGAAGAATATTGCAAGTGGTAAAAAGGGAAATGGTGCATTTGGAGGTGAAGATTTAGTTGATGTTCTACTAAGATTAATGGAGAGTGGGGAACTCAAAATCCCAATCACCAATGACAACATCAAAGCAATTATGGTTGTAAGTATTCTTAAACTTATAATAGGGAAAATCTCTAAATTTATTTTTGAGCTACTGTATATAAAAAAGTATTTAACATTCTTTTGTAAGCAGACATGCACATAATTAATTAGGCATTAAAAAAATGCCTTCAACTTTGACAAGTATATTATACATACTGGGAAGGAGCAGAACGACCTCTTGATCTACTTACTGCAGCCCAATTTAGGTTAATTATTCTTTGATTAATAATGAAATGTAGGACTTGTTCTCTGCGGGAACAGAAACTTCATCAACAACAGCAACATGGGCTATGACAGAAATGATGAGGAACCCAAGTGTGTTAAAAAGGCACAAGCAGAAGTAAGAGAAGCATTCAAAGGGAAAGGAACTTTCGATGAGGATGTTATTGAGGAATTGAAATACCTAAAACAAGTTGTTAAAGAAACCTTCAGACTTCATCCTCCAGTCCCTCTCTTAGCCCCCAGAGAATGCAGGGAAGAAACAAACATCAACGGATACACCATCCCATTAAAAACAAGAGTCATGGTTAATGTTTGGTCGATGGGAAGGGACCCAAAGTATTGGGAAGATGCGGAAAGCTTTATACCTGAGAGATTCGAGCAGAGCTCTGTGGATTTCATGGGGAATAACTTTGAGTATCTTCCTTTTGGTGCCGGAAGGAGAATGTGTCCTGGGATTACATTTGGTTTGATCAATGTTTATCTTCCACTAGCCAAATTGCTCTATCATTTTGATTGGAAATTACCTGATGGTCAGAAGCCAGAGGATGTGGACATGACTGAGTTTTCTGGAATAACTGCAGCAAGAAAGAGTGAGCTTTACTTGATTGCCACTCCTTATTATCCCTCTCAATAATGATGTTTGATACAAGTTTATATAACAGTGAGGGTTGTTTCTCCTCTTTTCTTTCTTCTTTTTCTTTTTTGGTTCTTTGTGTGTTTCTGTCCTTGTGTGCCGTGCCCAAAAAAAAAAAGGCAAAAGGGCATAATGTCTTTGAGCAATCAGCTTGTTTCAAGCTTGTGTGTGTGTATATATATCAGCTTATGTCTAGTACTCTAGTTTCAGGAAATGCATGGCTAAGTTTGCATGCTACAAGCTCAAGCATTCACAAAATAACAAGAACTGTTCTTTGGTTTGAATGTGTTTTTTTTTTTTTTTTGATGAAGTTCTTTGGTTTGAATGTGTTATATTAGGCTAAGTCATCCCAAAGATACTTTTCGCATAGAATGAATTGTCTGCTTTGGATCAAGCCCGTACGGGTTTTCCCAAAAGGCTTCACATCATTAAGAATATCCTACACTTCATATGTAGCTTTTTTTTTCCTTTCAGCTATTGATGTGAGACTTTGTTCGCACATCCTTTAAACTAACTATTTATTAAAACAAATCTCAAAATTAACGAGTTAGTTGACATGTAGATAAGGATTTTATGGGCAAACTAAGTTATCACAGGTCTTTTAACAATTATATTCAAACATATGATCTAATCAGCTTCAAAATACTTTATTTCCTCCATTCCATTTTATTTGGCACTATTTGACTTAGCAATATTTAAGAAAAAAATGAAGACTTTTGAAACTTATGGTTTAAAACTAGGGAAAATTGTATGAAATAGCAAACTATTGGGAAAATGCATAAGTACCCCCCCAGTCTATGCCCGAAATCCCAGAGACACACCTAACATTTACTAAGGTCCTATTACCCCCCCGAACTTAATTTATTTATAATATTCTACCCCTTTTCGGCCTACGTGGCACTATCTTGTGGGCCCAGCGCATGTTGACAAATTTTTTAAGGATAGTGCCACGTAGGCCAAAAAGGGGTAGAATATTATAGATAAATTAAGTTCGGGGGGGGGGGGTGTAATAGGACCTTAGTAAAGGTTAGGTGTGTCTCTGGGATTTCGGGTATAGGTTGGGGGGTACTTATGTATTTTCCCGGTAATTCAAATAAAATGTTTAGCCATAGTTTATTTTATTTGTAATTCGCAGCAAACATCCCATTTTTTTGCCATCTGATTCGGTATACAATTAGTCATTTTCGGTACAATTACATATTCGGTATACAAATGTATAATTTGCGTTTGTGTTTGTATAAAGCGAGAGAAAAGTGTATATACAAATACAAATACATACACTTTTGTCTTACACACTTATAATTATACAAATACAGATCTTATCATACAAATTCCAATGTATAAATGAATTTATACAAAACTGAACAATTTGTATAAAATTGGATGTATCTAGCGAATTATACAAATCAAAAGCTCCAATTATGCAAATTATAACTATAACATACGAATATGATTTTTATGTTTGCTATATGTAAAGTGATAGATGTACTAAAAAGGAATTAGTGTCACATAAAATGAGACAAAGGGAATAATATATAGTTGCCGCTTTAGAGGTAGCCCCACTGAAATCATGTACTCTAGTATTATGTCATGATTTATTCAGAGAAAATACATTAAATCACCCTGAATTTGGTATCAAAATTACTTTAGCACTTTGATTATACGGGTATTTATTTACCCTCTTAACAACTTTCAAATGAATTAAATATCACCCTTAGATTAAAATACTACTCTCACCCGCCATGTCATAGCAATTTAAGCATGACGTCATAGTCATGTAAGCACCACGTCATTAATTTTTTATTTCTTACTGTTTATTCACCATTTTTTTGTTTTCTTTAAATATATATTATTATTTTTAACTTATATACACTAAACTAATTAATTTCAAAAATTATGTTGGCTCATTTATTTAACAAAGAGCTTTATCATCAGTACCAAATTGGAGGTAAATCCTCAGTAATGGCAGTCAAAAATTGAAGATAAATCATTTCAACAATGCCAACCGAAAATTGAATCTAATTTCTTTCAACAATAGTTTCTTTAGCTATAGTCTCAAGCTTCATACATTTTATCAACAAGATTTCTACGAAAAATCATAAGTAAAATCTTGATGCTTACATTTTATAAATGTAATTTTTCTTGAATTTTAAGTAACCCATATTTTGAGCTTCTATTATTTAGTGATGCAAAAAATATGGATCTTTCAACTTTCTTATACGATCTTCATTCACTAATTTTATTGGTGAGATTGAAGCTGCAAGAACATTAATTAAAAATATGGATCTACGAATGTGTGTTCTTAATGGGTATTGATTGTGAATCGATGTAGATATTGTAAAATCGATTATTTAGGAATGTGTATTCCTCATCGCTCCATTCTTCTCCATTATTATTGCTATTGGTAGTGGATGTTGCGGAATTAAAAGCTGTAACAATGATGTTAGTACTGAATTTCATAAAATCGATGTCAATAACAATTAAAGAGAAAAAAGTTAAAATTTTATTTTAAATGGGACTCATAAATTCCATTATCTCTATAAGAAAATTCACATATTTTTAAAAAGTTAATATATTAAGAAAAAAAGATTAAAAATATTATTTATATGTTGGCCGATAAAAAAAATGACACATATAATCTTGTAATTTCAGTTTTTCTTTTTTCTTTCTTCACACGTTTTTAGGAGAGTAGGTTCACTCTCTCAATCATGTCGTATTTAATTCATTTAAAAATTGTTAAGGGATAAATAAATATCAGTATAATTAAAGTGTCAAAGTAACTTTAGTTGTTAAGTTTAAATGTGATTTGATGTATTTTCTCTATAGGAAAAAGATGACATTATTGATGCATTTAAAGTCAAATATCCACCTCCACTTCCACTATTGTAATAGATAAGTGTGGATAAACACGTACTTGATGGACAATATGCCTGCTTGATCGTTACTTGTTTGGCCTGTTCTTACTTATATATTAATATTATTAATAGCTAACTTGTTTTCACTTATATATTGTTAATAAATAGATAATATTTTAACAAATTTTAAATAAAATTAATTATGTTTTCTTAGTAAATTCTAAATGAAATCAAAGATATTTTCTTCCGTCATTTATATTTGTACTCATTTTATTTGTCGTCTTTAAATTTTGTATGCATTTTAAATTAATAGAGTAATTAATAAGAGTATTTTATCATAATATTCATATTAATTGATATATAATTTTAATTTGGAAATGGGTAATTAATATGTAAAGCTGGACATATTGTTTATCTAAAGAACAAAGGAAATACGGTTGCAATATTTGCATATTGTTTTTGTTTTACTGATAAAAGACGAAAAAAAATTGCTTGAAAATCAACATTTTATCGTAAAAATAGTAGCACCTCCAAATATGAATCACATATCATAAAAAGTGTAATCAAATGTTATTAGAATTATATTACTGAGGCCAGTACACAAACTTACGATGCTGCTGACGAATTAACATGAGTAATGTATAGCTCGTAGTTTGTTCCAAATAAAACCAAGATATTTTAGCAGCCGACACTGCATCGGCAAATAGATTTTGTCATGCAATATATGGCAGGACGCGAAGATCTATTAATCAATACGGATCGTCTTGGAGGCTCTACGTGTGGCTGGAAAATATGATATGTGTGTAATATATGTCAGAATCTTGTTAGAAGCTAAGTATTTAGTAATTAAAATCCTATCGCTCTAAAATTGAAAAGAAAAAAGTTTTTCTAATAAAAGCATAAAAAACAAGTTTCGACATTTCAATCCTTCCCACCGCCAGCCCCAATCTTATTTCATAGTGTTTGTTTAGATTTTACATTTTTTCTGCTTTTCAAATATTAAAAAAAAAAACTATATAAGAAAACTACTTATTTTTAAGGAAAATATCTTCAAGGATAGGCCAAAAGATAGCCTAACACTTGGATCATTTCCCTCTGGCGTTAGGATAGGCCAAAAGATAGCCCTATACAACAAAGCTTTGAACTTGAGATTTGAAAGACACCCCTCTCTTAGCTTTAGCTATCTAATGGAGTTCCAATTTCCATTCAATTTCATTTTCTTATTTTTTTTCCTATCATTCCTCTATCTTCTACCTGTTGAATGGAAAAAATCAAGAAACTTTAACAAAAAACTTCCTCCAGGACCATGGAAATTGCCTTTCATAGGAAGTATCCATCACTTGGTACTAGAAGGTGGACTTCCTCATCATGCACTAACAAACTTGGGTAAAAAATATGGGCCTCTCATGCACCTACAACTAGGGGAAATTTCTACGGTCGTAGTTTCTTCTATGGACATGGCGCGGGAGGTACTGAAAACCCATGACCTTGCTTTTGCATCGAGGCCTAAATTAATGTCCATCGACATAATATGTTACAAGAGCACAGACATTGTGTTTAGTCCTTACGGAGAATACTGGAGACAAATGCGTAAAGTATGTGTCATGGAACTCCTCACCACCAAGAATGTCCGGTCCTTTAGTTCCATCTGGCACGACGAGGCATCTCGTCTCGTGCAATTCATCCAGTCAACGACACATGGTGAGCCAATAAACATTACGGAACGGATTTTATGGTACGCGAGTTCAGTTACATGTAAGGCAGCATTTGGGAATCAATTGTTGAAAGACCACGAGAAATTCATTCGAATGGTGAAGGAATTATTGGAATTGGCAGGTGGCTTTAGTTTGGCTGACATTTTCCCTTCAATCAAGATCCTCCATGTACTAAGTGGAGTGAGGAGTAGAATCTTGAAAGTTCACAAAAATGTTGATGCTATTGTTGAGGATGTTATCAATGAGCACAAGAAGAATATTGCAAGTGGTAAAAAGGGAAATGGTGCATTTGGAGGTGAAGATTTAGTTGATGTTCTACTAAGATTAATGGAGAGTGGGGAACTCAAAATCCCAATCACCAATGACAACATCAAAGCAATTATGGTTGTAAGTATTCTTAAACTTATAATAGGGAAAATCTCTAAATTTATTTTTGAGCTACTGTATATAAAAAAGTATTTAACATTCTTTTGTAAGCAGACATGCACATAATTAATTAGGCATTAAAAAAATGCCTTCAACTTTGACAAGTATATTATACATACTGGGAAGGAGCAGAACGACCTCTTGATCTACTTACTGCAGCCCAATTTAGGTTAATTATTCTTTGATTAATAATGAAATGTAGGACTTGTTCTCTGCGGGAACAGAAACTTCATCAACAACAGCAACATGGGCTATGACAGAAATGATGAGGAACCCAAGTGTGTTAAAAAAGGCACAAGCAGAAGTAAGAGAAGCATTCAAAGGGAAAGGAACTTTCGATGAGGATGTTATTGAGGAATTGAAATACCTAAAACAAGTTGTTAAAGAAACCTTCAGACTTCATCCTCCAGTCCCTCTCTTAGCCCCCAGAGAATGCAGGGAAGAAACAAACATCAACGGATACACCATCCCATTAAAAACAAGAGTCATGGTTAATGTTTGGTCGATGGGAAGGGACCCAAAGTATTGGGAAGATGCGGAAAGCTTTATACCTGAGAGATTCGAGCAGAGCTCTGTGGATTTCATGGGGAATAACTTTGAGTATCTTCCTTTTGGTGCCGGAAGGAGAATGTGTCCTGGGATTACATTTGGTTTGATCAATGTTTATCTTCCACTAGCCAAATTGCTCTATCATTTTGATTGGAAATTACCTGATGGTCAGAAGCCAGAGGATGTGGACATGACTGAGTTTTCTGGAATAACTGCAGCAAGAAAGAGTGAGCTTTACTTGATTGCCACTCCTTATTATCCCTCTCAATAATGATGTTTGATACAAGTTTATATAACAGTGAGGGTTGTTTCTCCTCTTTTCTTTCTTCTTTTTCTTTTTTGGTTCTTTGTGTGTTTCTGTCCTTGTGTGCCGTGCCCAAAAATAAAAAGGCAAAAGGGCATAATGTCTTTGAGCAATCAGCTTGTTTCAAGCTTGTGTGTGAGTATATATATCAGTTCATGTCTAGTACTCTAGTTTCAGGAAATGCAGGGCTAAGTTTGCATGCTACAAGCTCAAGCATTCACAAAATAACAAGAACTGTTCTTTGGTCTGAATGTGTTATATTAGGCTAAGTCATCCCAAAGATATTCGCATAGAATGAATTGTCTGCTTTGGATCAAGCCCGTACGGGTTTTCCCAAAAGGCTTCACACCATTAAGAATATCCTACACTTCATATGTAGCTTCTTTTTCCTTTCAACTATTGATGTGAGACTTTGTTTGCACATCCTTTAAACGAAAAAAATACTCTTATATACACAGATAAACACTCCTAAACAGGATGAAAAGAGCAACAACTATTCCAGTTGGCTATCCATAATTCATGTAGTAGATACAACTAATATTGAACTCTGGTGCCATGATTAACTTCATTATTACACAACACACAAGCACATAACACAAGTATTGATATTTCACTAGGAAATAGAAAAAAAGAAGTCACAAGTATCATTCTCTTTTCAATTTTGCTTAACAAGATTACTACACCATGTCACTGAGAATACACACAATGAAAAGCCGGAACATCACTCCCCCGACTAGAAACCTTTTTTCCAGTGACTCAATTTGAAACTTACTGCCACACCTCAATAAAACTACCTACATCTTGAAACCAAAGAGATAAGTAAATCTAAATATCTAACAAGCAAACACCATAGATTAACTAAAACATACAATGTAGCCAAAATTTTACCGCACCTCAATCATCAAACTGAAGTACACTGCCTTCAATCTCCATACCTTTCACTCTCCACTTTCTGAGAGAAAAGCTTTGTTGCAATCAAATTATCATCAAAGTACCTAGCATAAGGGTGGCCTTGTGGTACTAATCTTCGATACTCCTCAAAACTCTTCTCCGCCTCATCTTTCTTTCTCAACAAAGTATGTATTATCCCTTGACACAAATAAGGCCTAAAATCCTTTGGCTCCTCCTTCACTAACTCCTGATAAACCTTCAACGCATCCTCGTATTTACTTTCAATTACCCAAATTTGTGCAAGCAACAGCATAAAATCCCTCATTTCACTCTTTTTACTCTCCTTATCACACATCTTGATCCCCTCCTCAACTTTTTTCTTTATTTCTTTCAACTCCTCAACTGAATCTTCTTGCGACGCCACCATCACCAGCCCATGATAAGCCTCTACACGAAAAGGTTCTTTCTTTAATATCTCACTGAATCCAATTTTGGCCAATTCAAGCTCACCATTGTAAACATATAAATGGGATTTCAACAAAGGCCATTCAGTCTCATTTGGCTCTAGCTCAATCAACTTGTCAATAGTGCTAATAGCATCGACTAATTTCCGATTCTTTATCTGAATTTCCATCAAATTCCTCAGAGCATCGACATCATTCGGGTTCGACAGCAAGAAACTCTCGAGGGCCTTCTCATTTTCCTCGTCAGAAGCTGAATCCTTTACGTTTGCCTCTGTAGTGTGCGGAGAAGAAAGCGACACAGCAAATGCGGGCTTCGGGTTAAAATAGAATCGCGTTAAGAAAAGGGAAGTAGCTGTAATGGTGGCAATAATTGTAGGTTTGAGAACTGAGAACAGAACAGAAAACGGGTTTTGAGGGTTTATGGATTTTGGGGTTTCTGGGTTTTGAAAGGATAATGAAGAAGAGGCTTTGATGGGCAAGAAAGAGGGGAACAATGGGGTTCTAAAACAGAGAGAAGAAAATGGTTTAGACAAAATTGGACGATGGTGATAAAGTGAATGGTTGATTTTCTTGTCAATTTGGATTGTTTTAGCAGAAAAAGGATTTATCGTGTTCATGGTGTTCCTTGGGGGTTTGGGGGGGGGGGGGGGGGGTCTTAAGAAGAGAGTGAGAGCTGTTGAGCTCCGGCGACAATGGAGGTCAGGCACAATTCTCGAGAAAAGTTGGCAATTCCGAGAAGACAATGATTTGGGCTTCGTGAGGGTTTTAAAGGTTTGGGCTTTGTTTGAACAATTACGTAAAGTTGCGATAGTTTGTTTAATTAAAAATCGTATTTGAGTTTGTTGTCATATACAATGTATTCGACATGCAACTCGATTGTATCTAAGATACACCTTGCTTCTTTCTTGTTGTAATCAAGATATAAGGTATCTTACACGCTCTATTTAGTGTATTTAAATGTTAGTTCGATGTATTAGAATCAATTTCATTCAGTAGATTTGATTTAAAATTCTTTTTAGTTTAGTTTATATCAGTTTCATGCAATATATAGTATCAAATACCTAGAGTATTCAGTACCAATTTCATGTATACAATGTCAAATATGTATTGAAGTATTCAAGTGTATTTAATATAAATTGGTTTTGAGAGGACAATAATGTGTTCAGTGTGTTTATGGCTTTATCCATAGATACATGTATCTGGTAATAAATATATGATGTATACAACGTATTTTGCATAGATACATATATCTGGTATCAAAAATGTGATATATTCAGTGTATTTGTGCATAGATATATGTATTTAGTATTAAATATGCATTGATACATTCATCAAATAAATCACTATCAAATGTGCATAGATATATCCAGTATATTTGTGCATAAATACACACTTAGAAGAAGAAAAAGGAGGAGGAGAAGAATATGAAAAGTCTCTTCCTCATCAACAATCAAACAACCCCCTAATTTTACTGATATTTTAAATTCTATCCTTGCATTTGATATTTTGCTAAAGATGACCTCTTAAGTTTAATGAAAAAAATGGATAAAATTATCTTTAAATTAAGCAGGTTATGATAAACTGTTATAATAACTCATAATTTCTATTGAAGTGACACGGTACCGTTTTGGAAAACGGTTTGATGCTATTAATTAGGGAGAGGGAGAGTCAAAATAATTGCATACAAATAATAATGAATCAATATGATAAATCACAAATTTTATTGAATTGTCATTATTTTAAATTTTCACTCGTGATACGTTATTTTACTATCTAAAGAGTAAAAAGTTTAAAAATTAAAATATTGTGCTTACAATCTTGATCAATAAAATTTTATTTTTTCAAATTTTATTTGTGATTACAATTTATTTTTTATCACTTTAAAATTTATTACAAACAAGATCGATTGAATTTCATAAGATCGCGCAAATAATGTGTCAATTAATAATGAGTAGATCGATTAAATTTCTTAACAACACACAAATAACATGTCAATTATTTCTACTACATCTATTTTCTAATTTATTACTTTGAACACAATAAGATTAAAAAAAACATGAGCTAATTAATAATTAATTAGTGCTATGGTTTGTCTTTAGAGAGAGAGGAATCCAAGAGCATCTTGTGGATTCTTTGTCTTGTTATCTCCACTTTGGATTCTATATTATTATTATTGTTGGTTGTTGTTGATTCTTCATCCTTGTTTTTTTTCTTGTATGACTCAAAAAACTCTTTGTTCTCCTTCTCCAACTCCTTCCACACTGTTATATATAAATAACATTTAATTAGTTAAATAAACATGTTCTAATTAATTTATTGAAAAGAAACTAATACAATAATCAAACAACAAATAATTAAGAAAACCATACAGAGACGAGTTGATTGTTCAAACGGTCAGTCAATTAAGGAAAATTATGGAGTAAATTCCTTTTATGTGTGTAAATTACATTCTTCTGCGTGTTGATGAGTGTTATTTCACAATTTTCACTAATATAATGATCATTTGATAATTAATTCCACAACAAATTAAGGAGGTTCGACTCTAAGAATAATATATATACAATCCTTTTCTAATTAACACTAATGTTTTTCCCAATGTATGAAAAAATAACATGTTTTTATTCTCCGTCTTATAATTCTCTCCCCGTTATCCCTCTCCCTCCTCCTATATATAGTTTCTTTATAATTAAAAAAATATCATGGGTTTGGTGGGACGGCCTTTATAATGTGGTGGCACATAGATCCAATATTAAAGTCACAGGTTAAATAGAATTCACTTTTTCTTGATAGAATTATATAATTAAAAATGATAGTGTATACAAGTAAAAAACACTTATTAATATCGATATATAATAGGAAAAAGTGAGCAGAGAATGTTTCAATCCATACAAATAAAAATTAACTTACAAATATAAATAAAAACTTGAATTAACAATTATATCTCTATGACACTATCCATATTTTAGGCATGATACATGCGCATGCATGTTTTGTTGTTTTCATATCGATTCATATTGTAGTCTGAGTAATTCAAATTCATGTGATTTACTCATTTAAAAGAAAAACGCTCCTTAATATCTAAAAAAAAAAAATATCATACTCAAATCTTAAATTCGAGACTTTTTAGTTAATAAGGAAAAAAAGATCTTATTTATTTCACTCTAGATCTCGTTGGTTCACTCAACTATTTGCTCCTCCAAAGTCAATATTTTCACGTTTTTTTTAAATGTTAAATAAGACAATGAAATATTTCAATTAGCTGTATCCTTTTCAACTTGATGTTATTTTTGAAAATGATGTAAAATCAGTATTTGAAAGATTTATTGGACTTAAAAGATTTAAATTACTGTAGTAGAAATGTAAATTTGTTCTGTTAAATCATTTGAAAAAATTCTTATATTAGTAATTTGTATTTGCCAATATTTTCAAAATATACGTTAAATATTAAATTACATAAAAATAAAATTCTTTTTGAAAAATATATACCTTCGCCTTTCAAAATTTGGTCAAACAGGCAACTGCATAACAACTAATCCATTTATAATTAAATAATAAAAATACAAACGAAAAAAATAGAAGCAACTAAAATTACCCTTTCCAAGTTAAATTTTTTTTTTTGGTCGGTTTTAGTCATTAAAGATTCTTAGTAAAACCATCGAGAAAACAACAACAAAAGAAAACAAAATAATTACTCAAGATGTGAGTCTGGCTACTACATATTGGACAAAAGAAATAATAAGTTAGAATCGGCTATATATAAATTCACATTATCAATGTAAATTCAATATCTAAAATTAATTATTATTTTAAAAAAAAAAAAAAACCTGTGGATGTGATAACTGGCTGAATATTTGCATGTTTGGAAAGTGCTTCCATGCATTCCTCTCTGCTCATGTTGAACAATAAACACTCTTCAATTAAGTGATGCACCTGCACAGAGATCGAGCTAGAATTTTAATTCACTTATAAAAAATTTTAAAATGAAATAATTTGAATATATATATATATATATTAATTACTAAATAAACTTTTAAAGATAAATACAAAATTTTAAATAAAATTATTAGATTCTGTCAAATGTGTAAGTTAAACTCTAGTAACGTGATCATTTCATTTATCCAATATTAATTTCCTCATAATAACTTGATGTCATCAATAGAGGCGAAAGTTAGAACTAGGAAAAACTCAATTACAAAGGTTCCAACTCTATATTTACATTTAAAAAATATTATGGAAAATAGGTAAATAATTTATTTAATACTCAATAAGTTAACTTTTATATTTACATTAAAAGTATTATATAATATATAAATAACTTATTTAAAACTCACTAAATTAACTTTTCCAAAATTATTGAGAGAATATGTTATTGTTGTAGATCATTGAGACAAATCATAAATTTAAAATTCTAACTTTATCTTGACAATCAATATCTGATCGTACCAAATCCAAGAAGGAACAACAATAACAACAACAACATAGTTTTACCAATAAACTCTGAAAAAGCTGATATATACACAAACTTTACCTTTCTATATTGAGGCAGAAATGTTGTTTTCAATAGAAACGTCTAAAAGAAACTAAAGAAATAAAAAGAAATACTAAAATAAGAAGAAGATATAACCCATATACTATACTTACCAAGTGGATGTATTGAGCTGAAGAATCACCCATTGTATATACTTCAAAGAATTCCAATCAAAATAACCACTTATTTTTGCTAAATTTTATGAATATTAGAAGAAACTAAACACTAGAAGAAAGAAGAAGAAGAAGAAAAGACTATAGATTTCAATTTAAAAAAAAAATTACAACTAATTAATTTGCATTTGGATCGAAGACTTTATAGAGAAAAACAAAGATGGAAATTTGTTTTTTTATTATTTTATATATATAAAAAAAAGATATAGTAATATTTTACGTTATTTTATAAGTCCCACGTGGGAAGAGAGAGATGATTGGTTGAATGGAGATTACGAATGATTATTTTAAGGCATTTGTTTTGGATTGCCACGTCAACAAAGCCCACGTGAAAATAGGCCCACAATACAGTAGGCGGCCCAAAAAAGTTACTATAAGTTATTTGGGGCCCGCAAGAAAGAGAAAGCCCACACCAAGCCACGCGTCAAGCACAGTGGTGGACCGTTAAAGGGGTTGTTTGGTAAAACTTTTGGAGTATTAGTTACACGTGTATTATTTTGTTGAGATTATTTTGTGGAGATAGACAGTAATTCGTTTATAACATATAGTCAAAATTCATAAAAAGTATACATAAATTATACAATATAGCTATATATTTATGAGTTATACACTGACTATATATTACTCCCTCCGTCCCTTTTTAGTTGTCCACTTTAGAAATGGCATACAGATTAAGGCAACAATGATTAGCACAGTGAAGTTACAATTTTACCCTTATGACAACTTTTCACTTCAAAATTACAACCACTTATTTGAATTCAAGTGAAATAAATTGGAGGGAAACAACATATACTTTTACAATTTTCAAGAAGTGTAAATAAGGGTATAATAGGAAAAAATTTGTTGTCCTTTCTTGATTTGTCAAAATGGACAACTAAATAGGGACAACTAAAAAAGGAAATATGGACAAGTAAATAGGGACGGAGGGAGTATGATATACTCAAAAAGTTGAATTTATGGTCTAACTATAAAGAAATATACATTGACTCTTCGATTCTAACCAACTCAAAACCACTTTTAAACAGTCACAAAT